ATATAAGCTTAATTTTTGAATGTAAATCCTATTTAGGGCGGCTGCCTTATTAACACAAGTCATAATAGGAGTAAATAAACACTTTATAACATTAATTACAAAATATAAGAAACATAACCTAAAATAAATTAAAAACTAAGAACATAATCTAAAAATTAATCAAAAATTAAGAAACACTGAAAGTAATAAACTACTTTTTATTTTTATAGCGGTTTTTCACCTTGAACACTGATTCCGATGAAGCTGTAAAATATCCCTGTCTAACAAGCACAAACATAACTGAAATGATGATGAGGTCATTTTTACATAGAATAAAGGCGACAACCGAGCCCACAGTCAACCTGATGGTAATTAGATCTCGGGCCTATAGGCACCTACATCTTTTCTTAAATAAGAATCAAAATGCTGGTGCATTGTCACCCCTGGGCACTAAAATGGAATGCCTTATTTCCAGTTAAAGGGTCTCCGGTTCTCTAAAAACACCATATGAAACATAGCAGCATTAAGCTATTTGACGTTGGTATTCTGTGAGAGCGTAATTCTTCCACGAACGAGCTAACCCATTCAAACTACAAACCATAATAAAGTAGCTGCATGGCTCTACCACGTATATATTATATTATGTCTGTTTTCGTTATGATACTAGAATAAAACTTCTACAATTGATAGCTCGGCAAAGAAAAAAAAGGCAATAAAACGTCATGTCGTAATTAGATTTTTTTTACTTATTTTATAACTGGCTTTTGGTAGAGCTTGACTACTATCCCACCTGATGATATGATGGTATGGTAGTGCTGAAGCTCTAGAAACTAGAAAAAAAAATCACCTGTCTTAGCTTAACAAAAGCCTATTCTCTCTTGTCTTAAAGATACTCAGATTGTGACATGACATGTTATGACATAATCCATTCATTAAAGATTATTAAAGTCCAATGCCAAACATAGACCTCCTCAATAGACTGTCTCATAAGCGGGCTATTTGCCAAAACTTGCCAACGCTTGGTGAAGGCGGGTTGGTTTGTTTTTTTATTCAGTATAAAACTTTTTCGAGACTGTTATGGACGCCACACATGGTCAGTTCAATTGATCATTCCAAGTGATCAGTTCAAACTAAAACTGTTTAATATTAAATATTTTTTTAAATATTGAATTTTCGATATATTGATAATTATAAATAAATCAAAATCGGAGTTTTAAATATAAGTTTATTTATCGATGTATCGAAAGTCCAATATTTTAAATAATATCAACAGTTTTAGTTTGAACTGATCAGATCAGACCATTAGTTTGCTTTAATTTTATTTTTAATAATTGTAATGCTTATAAATCTAAATATTTTCTCCTGCTTTCTTCCTCAGTCAGTATCAGTCAATTACTGGATATGGATCTATCCTATTTTAGGACGGTTTTGCTTGCCGACAGGCGACCCGTCAACCAATACTAAACATCTCACACCTTAATGCTGCTAGGTGTCTCCGGTCTTTGTACTACGTTTGGTATATACGAGATATACCACTATCTATTGAAGACGTCACAGACTTTCTAACACGCACTAAACTTAAAGGCGTAATGTATTCTTATGCAACCATACGGAAAATGTTAATTTAATAGTTATATTATTTAATAATTTTTTGTTACAGTCTATTAAAAGCAGCTATTTTCTGTGATGTTAGCGCTGTTAACCAGTTGGTATTTATAGATTAATTTTCAGGACTCACAGGCTGAAACACTTATTTCCAGCCTACCAAAAGTATTAGGCCTCCACCAAAGATTGCCTCATAGTGGGGATATTTATTATAGTTTGAAAGACGCGTTGGCAACCGCAAATGTTTATTACTTTGAGTTATTATGAGGAAGATGCTGCCAATCATTGCCTGTTTCACTTCCCTCTGGCTATTATGACACACATCTCGCTTATTTCCAGTTTTATTTCTTCTGTTGCCTCATACGACACCAGGAAATGTAGTGCATTTTCTTACGCCGCCAGTACACAACTATACATATAATAAAATTAATATTTTAAGCTATTGCATAGCTTCTATAGCGGGCCTTGAGCGCGGGGACCGAATCCAGAAATTCCGTAACGAAAAAAACCTCACGCTCCCCACTCCGACGGGCACGGAGGTGTGGCGTTGAAAGCCGTGCATCGTCTAACGTCGTTTCAGTTCGGCAGACTTCGGCACTCGGCAGACTTCGGCACGGTGTTTGTGTGCGTGCGACTAGACGTATGCGTGTACACTAGCTGCTAACTCAATGATAAAAATTCCTGAATAACCTACATGTATTGTAAGATATTAAAATATTTTAAACAATATTAACTTCTCATTTATTCAACAAGAGAAGAAAAATTGTTTTCTTATCGGTCACCACGCTCAAGAAGTGTAACTTGATTTAATATCAAAGACTTAACTGCATAAATAAAATAAATAAATAATTATAATTGCATAAGTTGATAAAAAATGCTATGCAATAGCTTTACCGCGGCAGTCACCGAGTGCCACACGTATTTTTAAATGATAATTAGTATTTATTATGTATTCTATACCAAGGTTAACAAATTTTTGATAGAAACTTATTTTATCACTTCGATACGAATTTAATCATTTATTGGAGCGTATCGTTTCATAAGCGTTTGACTAAACCTATGTAGAAGTAGGGTCACCATATTATAGAAGTTTTTAAGATAAGAAGGTAAATATTCTAACAATACTGAATATAACTTGTATATTTTAATTGCAGAATTAAGCCAAACATTTTAAATTTTAAAGATTTTTTAAATTTATACTTTCCTAAAGATAAAACTACTAAAAAATGTATATAAATATAAAAAAATATAATAAAAGCTGGAAATAAATCTAGATTAAGAAGCTAAAAAGTCGGACGTGTCCGATCGAATGCAGTTATACGTGGTAGAGCTACACTGCAGTTATATTATGGTTGTAGCACGAAAGGGTCGGCTCGACCAGGAAAGAACCACGCTCTCACAGAATATCAGCGTGAAATAGCAGCTTGTGTTTCATATGGTGAGGGTAGAGAATCGGAGACCCATTTTACTGGAATCGAAGTACTCCATGTTAGTCCTCAGGGGTGACAACGCATCTGCATTTTGATTCTCAATCGAGGTTAAATGTAGATGTCTATGGGCCACAGTGTCCACGTACCACCAGATGGACTGTGTGCTCGTTTGTCACCGAAATTCTATTTAAAAAATCGTGTGGTGACCTCATTAAAAGTTTACGACGGCCCATTAGTTAGCACATCTTACAGAGTAGTAACTCTGCTACTCAGCAAGCATTGCTTACCGCAATCCGCGTTCTATGCAATTAATTAATTCGTCCCCCTACTATTTTAACTGGAAAATTGCCAGTCTGAGTTAGTATCGTTTTTTTTAATCTATTTTAGATGAAAAGGCTTTTTTGCTGCCTAGTCCTTCTGCGTTATCTTTCGTTGTCTATTTTCGATGCCAAGTAGAAATGTTTAGATGTGTTGATGAGTGAAATGTTTAGATGGGTTCGCGTTTGAAGGTTAGAGACCGACAGGCTGTGGCCTCTAAACTTGCGTGTGGGTATCATCTTTGTCGTCAGGGGTAAACCTCAACCCCTCACCATACGAAACATAGCAACATTAAGCTGCTATTTTACGCTGGTATTCTGTGAGATCGTGGTCCTTCCCACGTCGAGCCGACTCATTCGTCCTACAACCATAATACAGCAGCGTGGCTCTACCATGTAAAAAATATTTTAAAAATGGATACATAATTATCATTTTGAATAAAATATAAAAGGTATTAAAATAATGCTAAATTTTTTTTAAATATTTCTCGACTAATTTAAAAAAAACCTAATAAACAAATTCGTAATTAATACCATATACTACATATCACGGCTTCGCTTGGGTGATTTCTAGATATAACAACAGCGACAGGTATCGGGCCTAATTAATAATCTAAACCATTCAGGAAGCCATTTTCAAGTTTAGCGATAGTAAGGGACAATAATTGATTTTTACATATTAAAAAGGCGCCAAAGGCGGACTGAATGCCAAAAGGCATTATGTACGTCTTTAAATCTTTTTCGCATTTAACAACGACGTTCTAACCAAAGATAAATACTTTTTTTTAATTTTAACATGTATGTTGTGTTATGCACGTTGTTTAGTTTATATTAAAAAAAGTATTTCTTTCCGTTTTCCTTTCTTCTTTCTTTTAATAATCAAATGCTATGTCTCAGGCGAGTGATTTGTTTTAGTTTGTATACTTGATGCACTCCCTATTCCTGAACCTCGTAGCAACATGATAGCACTCTGTTATATGTGATCGTATCCGACAGTGCTTGCAAATCACTAAAGTAAAATATTTAAAGTTACAGCCTATATACGTCCCATAGCTGGGCACTGAACTCCTTTTATTTTTGAAAGGATTTTAGTTGTGTTGGCGAACTTCATATTACTTCTTTTTCTACTTGTTTTTTTTATTTCTTAGACATGCAGGTTTCCTCACGAAGTTTTCCTTCGCCGTCGAGCACGTGCGAATCATTACCGAGGCGTAAATAGAAAGATATCATTATTAATTGTCTTAACAATCATTTTGTCTCTATCCTTTATTTTAATAAATGTTAATATTATTTATGCACTGTAATGAACAAATATTTCACACTCATTCTGAGTCACTGATGCTCTTACTCCAATATAAAGTTACGCCTGTATAATATATAAATTATCCGCACGAGTTATGAAAAATCGTCGTCTTTCAGTTTGAAGATTTAATCTTCGCGCAAATTGAGCCGCGCTTGTCTGTTAACTTCAAGATTATATACTAATAGAAATGAAATAGATAATAATGTTGATAATTATTATTTCAAAAAATAAAGCATACATTAAATTTAGAAGACACTATTTTTAAACAAGAGAGTTTAGAAAAGTGCGCGCTCGCATCTCGTTGCGGGTTGCGCGCGCGTCAATGCGCTGACTTTCACTCCCCCACTAACGTCCGCCATTTTGCAGCGGGGCGGCGTGGATCCACGGCGTCCGCAGACGACGAGCGACCGCGCGGGCCCAACCTCGTCAACAAACAGCCCGCCCTGCCTTTCGTGCCGCCGGCGTTCCCTCACAACGCGCCCGACCGCCTCATCAAACCTTCGGAATATTTGAAAACAATCACGGCGCCTTGCAAGAGGGACGACACCGCGGCGGAGGCCAGACCTCCGCCGCCGCCGCCCGTCCCCAACGAGAACATCCCTCCGCCGCCGCCGCAGCCACCCGCGATCATGCACCAGCCTCTAGGCGCTATAAGCAGCGCCGAAATAACAGCTGTTCGACTCAGGACACCAGCCACGAAGACCCTTTCCGCGCCACCTCCGACCCGATCCGTCAGTCTACAATGCCTGCCGAGCGCCGCGGAAAGTTACAGAAGCGCGAAAACGGACCTTATCGAGGAACTAAAAATGTCCAAAGACATAACGGGCATAAAAAAGTTGAAAGTCGAACGCGCCAGACGGGAAAGCCTACAGGATAAGGAAACCTTCACTGAATTCACAAAGCGGTTTACGGCGGACAATTTCGTCGATCAGGTAAGTAAAGTCAAAAATATAAACATTCAAATTAAGAACGTCGCACAATTGAAACTTTAACTGAATTAGCTTTAAAACGTTAATATAATTTACTTTTTAAAATATGTAACTTATGTCTTCAACTTTCCATTGTGTGACTTTTATTCTTTGTAATGTTATCAGGGCGTGTATATAAATACTTTGAAGCGGCTCAGAAGCTAAAGACAATGTTATCAATGTTACGACAACATTGCGGCGCGATTAACGCGTTGTACAGGGTGCACAGTTATAAAGTGCTGCAGTTGCATCCACGCATCTAACCCACTGATCTACTTCACTGAAGCTATCTCTGCAAACGCTTCGTCTAATCTCTAATGGCCGTGAAACATCATGACTGGCAGATTGACGAAGTTGCCTTTACGTGTCTAGTTACAATCTCACAATTTTATTAATTATCTTTTCCAATATTGCCCTGAATTAGAGACTGCAAAATGTCACCAACACAATATTACAAAGTTATAAAGCGACAGCACGTGTTCAACGTTGAAATTCAAGCATTAGCAGTTTTGTCACTAACATATTATGTTTATGACGGTTCTACCGTCACCTTAATAAATTCATAATTTAGTACTATATTGCCTATGCCATTAAATAATTTCATTTAGAATGAACTATAAATTAGACTGAAGAAGATTTGATACAGATAAATAATAGGATAAGGAAAAATAACAACTAATTAAATTTGATACGAAAGCTTAAATCCCTAAACGTTGTTAGTTTTCTTTTTTTATCGTATAAGAGTGACAAACGAGTACGCAGTTCACCTGATGGTAAATGGATACTATGGCCCATATACATCTACATTATATACATCCTTGATAAATAATCAAAATCCAGATGCGTTGTCACTCCTAAGGAATGACCAAGATGGAATGTCTCGTTTCCAGTAAAAGGGTCTCCTACAGGTCCTAAGGGTCCTCTACACTCACCATACGAAATACAGCAGCGTGCTGTTATTCTGCTATTATACGCTGGTATTCAGTAAGAGCGTAGTCCTGCTCCGGTCGAGCTAACCCATTAATTCTACAACTATAATATACAGCAAAATAGCTCTACCACGTATGAACATTCATTACGTTTTTAAAATGTTAACAAACATTCAAATACACACCGATGAATTTATTTAACGCTATGAGGATTTTTTTTTCTTTTTTTTGGTGTCATTACTCTTTGAAGGTCTTTCATTATGCTAAATTTAAGAAGAAAATGTCATTAACAAGTCCTTCTCATAGGCCTGGGGTTCTTTTTCCTATTATATTATCGTTTAATTTTTCAAATATCATTATCATTAAAGAAGATAGCATTATTGAAATGTTTATTTTCAATGAAGGACTAATAAGACAACTTTTTATCCAAAGACTATTAACCACGCTTACGTAAAGTGCCTGATGATCCATAAACGGACTATGTTCTGGCGACCGAATGAAAACTCCTACTAACCCACCAGTCACTAAAGTTGCACTTGCTGCCTGCACTGTTGCTCATCCTGGACCTTGCTGTTATTTATTATCTTGACATTAGCAAGGAGCAGCATAATAGGCTTGAGCGCTTTCAAAATTTAAATCTGTTCTTCGCAAATAAGATAACTTCTCTGAATTGTATAAACAGCTAATGTGGTTACCAATTCGCCTTCGCAGGATCCTCACAATCTTTCAGCATTGTACGGCAAGCTGCCTGTGTCGCTCATTACTTAAAAGATCGTATATATATATATCATCGGTACCTCTGATCTTCTGCCAATTTTTCTCTCTGTACTCCTGTAATACTCTTCCTCTTCTTCAGAAAATCCCTCACTGTCACTGCTGTGCGCTTATGGAATGTTCACCTCTCCATCTTAGTACATCATATCTTTATAATGAACAGGTTGTTGCAATAACTGAGCGAAAATTATTTCTACCAATCATTCTTTTTCTATTATATAATACGACTTCCTTATTAATCTTTTATGAATATGTTTCCGAAATCGATATCATATAGAACAGTTAAAAGTGTTATCGAAATTACGAAGCATGTTAATAACTTTAAATTCAAATTCCTCGAACTTAAACTCCCGAATAAACCTATTTTAATATTTCGCGTCCCAAAAAAAAAACCGGCTTATGTGAAAAACATCTCATAAAAGAGAAGAGACCTGTGCCTAGCATTGGGACGTATATAATTCACTTTATTTTAACTGCCTTTCGAATGATATGTATGCCTTTCCATATATAAGTGCTTAAATATAGATACTTCAGTTTTTTGTGTTGATGTTTAAAAATGTTTGCCGTAACTTTAACTTTTTAAATACATGTAACAAGATATATCCGAAGTTAATTGACCGAACTTTAGCTATATTTTTTTATTTGGTCATACGTAAGTAATACATTACGCGCTTCTATAATGGTATCGATTCCTTACAATTGCAATTTGTATATATAATGAAATAGAATTATTTACAAATACGCGTAGTATGTATGGTTAGGACTTGTGGTTGTTGCCACTGATGTGGGGTTATCATTCTGACAACTATATATCATACCATTTTATTTTCAATTTTATGACACAATACATTTCCGTTCTATAAAATAAACGCATTTATTATATTAAACACTATTTACTGCGTAAAGAGCATCTTTTAATATTTGTAACGGGGAGAAAGTCTTGCTCTGTTGGATCTCATGCCGTGCTTTATACAGTTTTAAGTCGGTTCTAGCTTTATCCACCGCAGTTATTATATGGTTTAATGATTACCAGTCATACGGGTGAGATAATATTATATGTCATAACATAGGTAGTTAATAAGAATATATCGATCGTCCTCTTGCGTATAATGAAACAATTACAAAAAAAATTAATGGCTTCAATAAACATAAAAACTAGAAAAGTTTATTATGAATCCTCAAATAAACAGATCCGAAATAACATAGAATAATCTGCTAAAATACTTGAGTTTAACTTAAACGTAAAAAGCGAGAAATAACGACACTCAATCTTGAAAACAAGAGTTTACAGCCCGTAGAATAGAATAGAGTAGAATATCTTTTATTCATTATAGATTACAAGTAGTTCTTATGATATGCTTTTTTACCATGTATGCTGTTGGCTCAGAGCCTTGTATTGATGCATATCTTGGGGGAGGTTCAGCAGTGGCCTTGTAAAGGTCTGTAGTGAAAATGATGATGACGAAAAAGAGAGAGGGATACGTTGTGATTTGTATTGCAAAAATAACCTACTAGAACTGTCAAAAACAGATCCTCTATGTGGCTAAACTAGATTTCCTCACATGGATTTGGCGAAACCCCGAAAATTACCCTTAATATACTGAAAGTTATGACAAGCTATAGACATATTTTTTTATAGAATTTAGGTGACAAGCAAGCACAAAGCCCATCGATGGCCATCACAGGCCATCTATACTCGATTAAGAATCAAAATGCTGTATCCCTGAGGACTAAGATGGAATGCTTCTTATCCAGTAAAAAGGGTCTCCGGTTCTCTACACTCACCATACGACACATAGCATTGAGCTAATATTTAACGCTGGTATTCTGTGAGAGTGTGGTTCTTCCCCGGTCGAACTGACCCATTCGTATTACAAAGACAGCTGCGGTACGGCTCTATCGCTTAATCAAATAGAAATATTCACTTCACTTTGGTCCAATGGTCCATGTTTGATGATTTGCTAAACTTGCATATTATTACGAAAGTATAAAAATATAACTATTTGCAGAATAGTGCAAAAGCATTGTTTACTATTTTCAAAAACACTACAGATAACTGTTTCGTAGGTATATTGTATTATTACGATTGTTTTGTTTTGAACTTCCCATGCGCTCTTTACAAACTATTACGTCACGATATACATTTTAAATATTGTGTAATATTTTTAAATTAACATTTGGAGTTTAAGAAAAAAAGTCATTCCATTTGATTTGCAAGTCACAGCCATATTTGAAGCAAAATGATTAAGTTAATGTAATTTACATAAATTTCAATTGATTACAATTCAATTCAGATACACAATAACTATTAAAATAAAAAGTTTATTGTAATAGAATATTTAAAGAGTTACAAAATTTTTAAGTAGCTTACATATAACTGTCGATATTTTTTATTGTTTAGAATGAACATTTCACCGCCATAGACAATTTTGCGATTATATACGACATTTTATTTACAATTTTACGAGTTCTACAATCATTAAATTTAATTTATTTCATTAATTCCATCCATTACGGTCTATAAAAGTCTCCACCATAGATTGCCTAATAGGGGGGATTTTGCCATAGTTGCCACGCTTGCCAAGCGGGTTGGCAGCCGCAGTTTTTTATTATTTTAAGTTGCAGGAAGACGCTGCTGCCCATCCCCTGTCAGGTCCCCATCAGGTTTCCCTCTGTTACCTCTTACGACACCCACTTTGTCACTTATTACACAATTGTCACTTTCATGAGAACGATAATATCTATAGTGCGTGTGGGTAATAAAAAATACATCGGTCGATCGTCAACCAGGAAGCGACTTCATTGTGTTCCTATCAACTATAAGGCGGTGGTCCAAGTTAATTATTTGTTTGTATTAATTAATGCATAGTTTCATCATTATAAATATATTCAAATAATCTTTATTACTCTTTATGTGTAAGTGAATAAGCTGATGATGAGTTATCTTGTAGATAAGTGTACATATATTATATCTAAAAAGTTGATTAAAACTACTTTTACGGATTTTATCGCGTTTATTTTTACTTTTAATTACTTTTATTTTTTAATTCCCGACGTTTCGGATGCTTTCCAGCACCCATGGTCACGGGGGACTGAGATGACTGACGAAAGTAAAATAAACGCGATAAAAGCCGTAAAAGTAGTTTTAATCAATGTGTAGTGTTCGCGTAAATATAAGAAATCACTATGTAATTGTAAATATTTTATAAAAATTGTAAAAGTAATTGGTTGGTTTCATAGTTACTTGCATGGGCGCCGGCAACGTGTACAAATTCAAGACACGTTTTCTGACTGGTCTGCTGTCAAAGCTGGCGTCCCACA